TTACCGAATTCGTGCGAAGACTTCAATGACGATACATGCAATAGTAGGAAGAGCCTCATTATATGATACCGATGGCGAGGAGATGATAACTCAACTGCTAAGGTATCATAAGTACCATCAAGACAATCCAACCACTAAAACGCAGTTATCTCAGATAACTTATCTGCCACGCATCACAGACTATGCAGCGGAAAGCCGCATCCGCACTTGAGAATGACGGATACATGCTGGAACAATGAGGCCAAGATGGAAACATGAGACCAAGCTTACTTGGTCTTCGAGCATTTGGTTCTCAGCGTTTTCGGCGAAGCAATAGGTTTTGGTCCTTAGGCTCTTTGCCGGGCTAAGTTTGATACAGATGCGTGAGACAGTCTCGGACGCGCGTTTCTGTCAAGGATGAACGCTGTGCGTCACCCGTGATACGTGCACTTGTTCGGTGGCGTATCCCCAATGATGGAAACACAAGGTAGACCTAAATAGTTACATATACTGATTGGGGCTCGCAGTGAGCTGGTCACAACCTGTGAGTCACAAGATAAAGATGCAACGTCTGAGGAGGAATTTGTGTCGAAGCATACGCTGGTTAAATATCTATACGTCCTTACACACACCAGCTCATAACATCAACAGAGTTACAATATAATGAACTATAGGAACAAATCCTGGTAGACAGTAGACGCAATAGCGATAAGATGACCGCGCAAGAACGACAAACGTCAACAAGACTAAGATTCAACTAGAGGGCAGTATTATCACAAGGAAGGATTAACGAAGGATGACTAACGAACGTGTTTATCCGCGGTGACCGTTTCTCAAGCACACAATGATATTGTTATGCCAGTCGGGAGAGTTAGTAGACATAGGACTCAATAGTGTTACCAACACTATTGAGTCCTGTTGAGCCAATGGCTCAACACGTGAGAAGGATGTCTCAATCCATAAATTTCATGCGGGAATCGACTCGTCTCGAGCCAGCGGAGCGGTGTGTTGCACGATGTGCATCAGATATATCTGGCGTGCGACATTTGACGCGACGCA